GCCCAAGCCAAGACTCACCAGGAAGTAGCAGAGCCAGGACAGAAACCCAAGTTGGCTGGCTCAGCAGATACCATGCCTGTCGGTGCCCTGCAACTGCCGTCCCCAACAAAGGCAAAGGTTGATGACTTCGCTCTCCACCAAGACCCCATAAAGCATCAGTAACTTCTGGGAATCCATGCTGGTCATCACATAGAAAAGGGTCTAGGTACAAGCTGGGTATATAACTTTTTTATAAGGCTAAACATTTTGAGCACATCTAAATGCTCACCAACAGAACAAGTATTACATCCATTTGATGAGATATAGCTTGGCCTTTAACAAAATGTGTAAGAATTATTTAGAATATGGGAAATGTTGATGCTTTTGTAAAGTGTAAAAAAGGACATAGAAGTACCATCACAGTATGGCCATTTCTTTGAACAAGATTAAAAGTGGGCAATCACAAAATGACTTGGAAATGTACAAAAATAAAATAAAGGTTGTTTGAGGATAAGAAAGGGCTAATTTTTCTCTGTTCAAGTTTCCTGACTTTCTCTCACTTTCTACCATGAGAATATATGACTCTCACAAAGTGATGCAGGGGAAAGATCAAGATTCTGGCGTGAGAAGATCATGTGAACCTGGATCTGTTCCCTCCCAGTTGTCAGGGCCAGGTGAGACCAGCATGGAACTGGAGAGCTGCAGTTCCTCCCTTATAGAAGGGAAGGCAAGGGTGCAGGATGGCTGGGAGCTCACCAGTAACAAAATAAATTCCTCACTCCTTTCCCAGCAGGTATGATATGTACTTGAAAAGGGGTTACTTAAAAAATAACAACCTTTCTCATTCTGAAGTGACTGCAGGAACCTGCTCTAAGTCAGAGAAGAAATCAGGCTGTCCAGGCCAAAGACATGGACACTTGAAGCTAAAGATTGGCCTGCTAGGGATGGAGGGCTGAGCCCAGGATAGGCAGCCTGTGTGTCTGATCTGCACTCCTTCAGGCCCTCTGAATTCTTGTACTGCTGTAGCCTTAGTCCATCCTCTAAGGGAACTAGGGAAGACTCCTTAGGGAGACCCAAGTCATGGGGTTGGGTGCAAGGGCTAAGGCTGCCCCAAGGTTCTAGTTAGAGTCTGAGCCCATGGGATCAAGACATGGTATCTCCCACAGGTAAAGGGGATGGCTGTACTGAGCCAGATATGAAGACCCTGTACCACCTTGTGCCATGGTAGGATGAGAGGCAGAGAGTGTAAGGTGGCCAGTGGGGGAGAAAGGTGACGCTTGTGTCCTCCTCTCCTGCACTGCCATGCAGCATATCTGGCCACATCCTAAGTCTACCACCTGGCCTTTCCCTGACACTCACCCCTCCAAGATCAATTGGGCAGCTGCCCCTCCACAATGCCATCCAGCCCCTCCCCTCACAGTGACCCCTCCTGTCCAGACTGCCCATTGTGGAACTGGGAGTTCCTTCCACAGAGGTCCCACCAAGTGCCCCATGCTACTGGCGCAGCTCTGATGCCAGGCAGCTCTCCCCACCAGGCTGAGAGCCCATTGAGAGGAGGAGATAAAGAAAGGACGACGCTCAGCCAATGAGTGCTGGTCATGCAGGAAGGAATAGGTCAGCATGCTTTAACCTGTCTCCACAGCTCTGCATGCTGGCTGCATCCCCCACTTCCCAGAGAGGACCAGAGCTCGGGAGACTTTTCTGTCCCTTCCAGACCAAGAGCCAGGTCATGAGGCCTGGCAGCCAGTCCTTCTCTGGGCTGTCAGCTTCCCTCTCTGCACTCAGTGGCCAGCATGGAGTCACATGCCAGGTGTTTGTTTCCTTTACTCTGCACATATACAAATCCGTAAGTACACAAGGTGTGAAGAGGCTCAGAGAAGAAACTCTGCTAAGAATGGACCGTCTGCACGTGGCTGCCTTGGGAGAAGACGTCCCCAGCATGTGTTTGCTCTGATATTGCTGGGCAGACACCAGTGTGGGGTGTGAGGGCAGCCCACAGGGCTCCCAGAGGAGCAACACTGGGGGTCTTCTAAGGGGCAGGGTGCAGGGAAAGTGCTGAAACTCTGGTGGCCATGGCAAGACCGCTGCCTTCCTGGTGAGGTCTAGAGGCACAAGGGCACCTTGTCTACTCAACTCTGGTGCTTCAGGACCTGGGAAGAAGGGCCTGGCCCACTGAACCACATTTAAGGACCTGATTCCACCTTGGTGCTGCTCCCCAGTACTCCACACTGCCCACTACAGGACGACAAAGTCACCTCAGAATCCAGGTCCCCACAATGTCCACATCACATTCATCTGACAAATAAACACCTCAAGGTCCTTCAAAAAGCTAACATCTTTTAACCTAGTAACACCACAATTAGAAAACTGGGATAGTCAGAGAAATCAAACATCCATTAAAATAGTCAAATATGTAAATCCCTGAGACTGACCACACAGGGCCAGCTGCCCACTGCAGGTCTCCTGCAGGGGCAGTCATGTCCTCCCAAGGAGGCATAATTGCCTTTCGGTTTTAGCATTATGTTTTTTAAAATCACACAATATTTTAGGAAGAATGCATTAGTACTTGCAGTCTTTTGCTTAACTGACTGGACTTGCCATGACACTCAACCCAAACACTGCCACAAAGAAAGGAATGGCCCCTGTGAGGAACCTCGCCCACTGCAAGACCCCTTCTGGGGTCTCTGGCAGGAGAGGCCCTCCCTCAGCTCACATTAGGGGAGGCACTCCTTCCCTGGGTGGGGAATCTACTCTTTTTTACTAACATGATTAGAATCCAGTTCTGCTTTCATTTCATCAGCCATTTGGGGGACTCCAACTCACATTGGGTGCAGCTGGATTTTTCTGCCCAACCTTAATAGGATGACAAAAATACACGGTGGCTGTTAACAATCCACAGTTTCTAAACCTGCCTTCCAGCTCTACTGCCAGAGCCTAATATTTGTTGACTCTTCCCATCTTTGTGCCACCTGAGCTGCCCAGGAACTTGGTGAAAACAGGGCTTTGCAGTCCCAGATACCAGCAAATGGGCTTGGAGGGGCACAGGGCCACACCTTGACCTTGAAATGCTGCCTTCCAGTTTCAATGCACCATGTCACAAACCAAATTCTAAGAATGACATTTTGAACTTCCTCCAGTTGTGAAAAAAAATCAGCATCCAAAACTGCTAGCCATCTGCCTCTGCCAAGCAAATGGACCCAAACAACTGCCTCAAGCACTCTAGACAGCGAGAGACGGCAGCTCTCGGGCCGACTCTGATTCAGCGCTAGTGGGAAGCATGACTACCTAATGGTGGCACGTGCCCACATGCACTCTACCTTTGCCATCCTGACCTCACTTAGCAAGCCTTGTCCTTCTGACCAGAACTAGTCGGGGGACAATGGCTGCCTGGGTTGGGGAACTCCTGGAATGTCCCTCTGAAGGTGGCCCAGCCCTGTGTGGGCCAGGAAGGGATCCAACTGTTGCCCAGGCCCTGGGGTAGGGCCGAGGAGATGTGGGATGAACAATGGATTAACAGGGTGCCTTCAAATGCCTCACCAAGGCTTGAATTACACAGCTCTCAGGACTTGAGCTATCTTCCCAGGAATAACTCCCGAGGAGTGTAATAAACCATTGCTCAGTGGCCAGGCAGGCATTTATGGGTTCCCAGACACATTTACAAGAGCCCACTTCTTTTGACTCTGGCCCTTGGTGTAAGGCTCTTGAGGTGGCTGTGGGAGGTGTCCATGCCTCCCACGCAGCAAGGAGACAGAGGCTCAGTGCCATAATCTGTTCAGGTGAGCCCCAGGTTGCCCAGCTCCAGCACCTGCCTCTGCTACACCAATCACACTAGAAAGCAAGCGTGCAGGAAGACCAGGGCAGTGGCATCAGTGAGACAGGATCTCACACTATGCCACTGAATGACTGCTGTGGCCCAGTCTGCATCCTGAGTCCACAAGGGTCCCATCAGGGTCCATGTTCCACAGGGAAGGGGGCCAGTGAGGAGGCAGGGATGAGCTTTTGCAGAAATACTTGAGAGTAAGGGCAGGGACAACCCTGCCCAGACTTGAAATCCAGACATCATCTCTATAAGCTCCACATTGACTCACTGAGCATTCCATCAATGAGAAAACTCAAGCTAGAGATGTTAAGTGAATCATCAAACATCACACTGTCAATACATGACAGAACGGAGATTCTGAAGTCAGGGCTATCTTATCCAGCAAGCTATATAAGGTAGATTTACAAAAGCACTCCCCCGAACCCCTCCATGAAAAGGGAAGGAAACCAAGGGAAACAGGCAGCAGCACAACATGCAGGGTTTGGCCAGCAACAGCTCCGGCCTCACGGCAGGTCCTCGTCCATGGCGTCTGCCAGTTTCCAGGCTGCTCTGCACAGAGAGGCATCTCAGGGCCGCCTAACTTCTAGTCCTGGCTGTAATATCCATTGTTTCCCTGACTTCCCCACTACACATCTTTACAGAGAGGGGCAAAAATGATTGGGAAAGCGTTTATTCTTTTCATCTGAAATCCTACCAGCCAGGCTGGTGATCAGGTGGCTGGGGCTGAGACCCACCGTAGCTGCGTTGCAAAGGTGGCTTGCCACACACTTTCCTGCGTTGAAAGTAGTGGGCTGTGGTGAGGAGTAAACGAACAATATGGATCCCGTACCCCACTGCCTCCTGCCACATTCACTATAAAGCACCTACAACACCGCTGTTGCAGGAATGTCCTCTCGAGACACACAAGAGCCTATGACAGTCACTGAAGAAGCTCCCAGCTTCTCTAGTGGAAGACGTGTTGCTCTTGAAGTACACCTTCGAAGTTGGGGCTGGCAGAACTCATCTGGGGGCTGAGCTGCTCATACAGAGCACGCTTTCAGTGGCGTGAGCTTCTTCCCCAAAGGGTTCCCAAGAAGATCTTCAGCAGGTACCAATCTCTGGGGTTCCCTGCCCATCGAGCTGCCCCACATCAGAGCTTGCATGCTTAGAGAAAGAGGCCCCTACTTACCCAGAAATCATAGGGCAGCCGGGGGATACTCACCCCACTGCAGGGGGGCCAGCTGCAGGCGCTCCAGGACAAGTTGGTTCAGAAGCCCTTCCACACTCGCCTCACCGCTGCGCTTCAGAGAGGGGTGGGCCTCAGTCAAGGAAAACATAGCTCCTGCTGAGCTCTGGGATGGAAATTCTACAAGATTCCACACTGCTCCCAGATAAAAATCTCCTACAGCAGACATGTCTTCCTTCTGCTCAAGTAGTGGCCTAACTTACCACAAAGATGTCACCCTGAGACCATGGAATCAGGGCATAGAAACACAGCAGATAAGTGTCTCTTTTCCCCAACCCTAAGTCTGTTCACCTAAGCAACAGTTAAGTAAGGAAAGGAAATCCAATGAGATAATTTTAATCCAACAACTATTCTTGCTGGGGGAAGTAAAGAAAAACTGGGAGGTTATTTTTTTTAATAATACATGCAAACTGTGGTTCACTGCTCAGTACAAACCATACGTTTCTCAACATTATTGGGTCACGCTGATTTCGTGTTTGTCACAGTATACATCTCAACGTAATTACATATATTATTGCAAAACGGGCTCACTTACTCAAGCTCATAATCGAGGAAATCATAAAGTCTCTCAGCAAGTATCAGTGGAGGGAAAAACAGCTTAGACAGGCAGACAACAGACGTCTCCCAGGCAATATATTAGACATCCAGTGTGGGCTCTCCGAAAGTCAGTAGACCTCCTTCCCTATTCCAGCGAAATTAAAGACACCATACCAAAGTTGCAATTGAATAGGAAATTTTTAGTTTCTGACATTCTCAACATTGGCAACTGGAGGAAAAAATCCACTCCTTTCTTCTTCTGGGGAATTAATTCCACTCAACAAACATGTCTAGTGTGTCTGGGGCAAGGCAGGTGTGGCAGCTGGGAAGCACTGAGGACAGAGGTGTGGACAAGATCCCTGAGGTTGAGAGGTTCACATTCTGGTAAAGACAAGTTAAGAACGCTAAGAATACATCTTCCAAGTTTGGGGATGCTGGTATGGGAACAAAGCCCTTCCAGGAAGAAGTTCAGTGGGGCAAAGGATGGGGAGCTGGAGCAAGTGAGGCAAGACCAGCAGGACACATGCTCCTGGTCTCCAGCTAGCTCACATTTGCAGCACACATCTCAACCAAGCACCCAGGGAGAGTGGCACAGACCAGAGGGTAGCCAGAGAGAGCTTCCCTGGCCCCCAGCATCTGCCTCATCCAGAGCAGTTGAGGCCATGACATGCTGGCCTCCAGGGTGCCCAGGGACCCAGGCATATCCCTGAGCCTGACTTTAACTATTCTATACTTTCTTCCACTCCTCCAAATTATCCTGTGCTCGCTCTGGATTTTCAACATGTCGTGGTGGTGCTTTTGCCTGGAGATGCTCCCCTGATCTTTTCTCTCCTTACTTTATTCATCTTTAAATCCTTTACTCCCTCACCACCCTTCACCTGCGAATTTGAGAGCTTCGTAGATGTTTCTGAAGCTCTGGGATTGTATGGAGGCATTGCACCCCAGAGAAAACAGCACCTGCTCTGACGGGGCTTGGTGTTTGAATCCTGCACCAGGACTCATGAGTTTTGGTTAACCAACTTAATGCCCTGGGTCTGTTCATCATCTGCAGCATGGGCACAAGAGCACCTCAACCTAACAGGGTGTCCTGAGGACTACGCAGAAGCACCAGGAAACATCTGGTTCCCCATTTCACTTCCTCTTGGGCAGAACTTCTTGCCCTTGCTTCAGTGAGGCAGCTATTGGTTTACCTCCTAAAAAACCTTGAAGGATCTCAGTCTTCTGCAGCCATTTATGTAAGGTTTCTTCCACAGACAATTCTCTCCTAAGAAGAATCTTCCAAATGCATCTTCTCCATCTCATTACCACCCAGGGCATCTTTGTTGAGCTGCTGCTATTATTGATACATATTCTTATTTGGTCCTATGGCAATCCTGGGAATTAGGATTTATTCATTAGTTCAGCAAGGAGTGACTGGGCAGACATTTAGGGATACTGAGCTAACACTGTGACCAGAACCCAGGAGCTCACAGGCAGTGTGAGAATGCTGACCTCTAACAATCCCACTTGTGGGCACATGTGTACCCAAAAAGAACTGAAGCAGGGATGCAAATAGATACTTCTAGCCCACATTCACAGCAGTATTGTTCACAGCAGGCAAAAGGTTGCAACAACCCAATGATGCATAAACAAATGTGGTTTGCCTATACATTCAAATATTGTTTTGTTTTTAAAGGAAGGGAATCCTGACAAATGCTACAATGTGCATGAAGCTTGAAGACAGTTACATGGAAAAAGTCAGTCACAAAAGGACAAGTGCTACCCTACAAGGCGCCTAAGGAGTCCAAGTCACAGAAAGAAACTGGTCATTGGGGGCCTGGTGGAGGTGGAGTTGGTCTTTTGGGGATAGATTCAGGGAGGAGAGACACTCTGGAGCTGGATAGCAGTGACGGTGCACAACTGACTGTACACTTAAATGTGGTTAAGAGGCAAGTTTTACAAACTTAAGGAAGGAAGCCTGTAATTAGAAAAAGGAGTTCTGAGGGAGGTATGGCCAGGGGCAGAGACTAAGAATTGCACATCTGAGTGAGTTCTCAGGAAGGAACTAGAAAGAGGCTGGGAGAGGGAGGGGCCTGTAAGGGCACAGAAGATGAGAGAGCAGCAGCAAGGGGGGACTTCTCTGTCAGATGGAAGGGGAAACTGAGGCTCAAAGGAAGCCGACTGTAGGACCAATTCCTGACCCAGACCCCCACAGGTCTTCCCCACCTCCTTCTAGTCCCAGCTTGGAGGCAGCTTTCCCTGATCAAGTGTGTTGCTGCCTGTTGTCTGATTAACGGGTCATTGGTGGCTCTATTTCTATCCCACTCCGGCCCCCTTAATAATGAAGGATCATACTGCTCAGGGTGTGATTCAGGAGGCCATCAGGAAATGTCCTCCAGGCTCCTCCCCAGAGCTGTGAGCAGGCTGGAGGCTGGGTAGGACAGACCTTCCAGGCCTGTTTTCTCACTGAGGAGGGCAAAAGCTGTTTTCCCCAAGGCCTGTACTCCTAGATAAACTTGGTCTGCCAGTATCCCCATTCCTGGTTTGGGTTGCTTAGGTCCATAGTGGAGTCTGGGGAATAACTGTGATTGTCTGTGATGGGCTAACTGGCTGCCAAGAGGGACGGCCCTTGGGCCAGGGATGACACTACTCTCTTGTACAACAGTGGAAGCTAGTGCATTTCTGTTTCTGGGCAGTAGCCCACAGGTAATATCACATATGCAATAGCCAGGTTCCAGAGGAAGTGGCAGCCACCCAATTTCCTGGAAATGTAGCTTCCTTACACAGAGTTGCCAGGTATTACTGACTCGGAAGGCCCTATCTTTATGAATAAGGCAGAACTCAGGGTTTAGTTTCCAGGGATAATGAGTGAATTCTTTTCTTCTTTGAACTCACAGATTGAATATTTTGATTTTAATACTCAATGCACTGTATTAAATTATTTCTCAAGGTGAGAAATGTGGACGTATGGGATCCTTGCCAGGGAAATTGCAGAACCTTTCTTGACCATGGATTTTCCCAGTCTTTGTGTCCCTACTTCTCAGCTCTGAGTCAGGAGTATGGTGGTGAAGGGACCTGTATCTCCTGAGTATTCCCAGGGACCTCTGCCCAGTCTTATGGGTAGGGATGTAATAGGCACCTTGCTCCCTCCTTCCCAAGCTCTGTGCCAGTTTCCTCTTCTGTGCCTGGAGCACCCTCGTCTCTCACACCTAGCACAACTGTGTCCATCAGAGCAGTCTACCACACTCCTCTGAGCACCCATCCAGCCCTGGCAGCTCTGCACCATGATTTTCAGGACCATGATCCAGTGACACTGTAGTGGATGTCCTGCCTGCCTGAATCCTTTACTACAAGAGGGCACAAGGACAGCCATCATCTCTACAATTCCACTGTCTTGCACAAAGCCTAAGACTAACAGTAGCTCAATAAACTCCAATTAAATGACTTAATAAAGCATACATGTAAATGGCATGAGTGTAGGCATAAAGGAATGGATGATTTTCATCAAAAACTGACCTTCCCTGGTCTACACCACCCACAATACTCATCTCTAGGAGGAGAAAGCAGCAACTCCGTCACTGTCACTCAGCATTGCTAGGAGGTGATTGATGAAGGCCCCTCACACAAAGCTGTCACTGTTCAGTAGGGTGTGGACTGAACTGCAGGACGTTGCTCGGTGTCATGACCAATTGGAATTGTCTGCAATTTCTGGCTAAAGAAAGCCTGTCTCCCTGCAGGGAGGGGCCTGGGCAGATGCAAACTTGCTCAAAGTCAGTACACCAGCAAGACCCTCAGCTGGCAGTGTGGGAGATGTTAACCTCTCTAGCAGAGGGCTCAGGGACAGGCTGGGAAGCCAGGCTGCCAGCCTACAATGGCTCCCAAGGCAACCATGGTCACTGTGCACAGGGCTTGGTGATCCTGGCGGGGTGCTGTCCTTCCTGGGACAGGGTTGACTATGAGTCATTCTCCCATCCTCTACCCACTACCTTGCCCAGGAACCCATAGCTGTGGTGCTCTGACCCCCCAACTTGGCAGAAGCCACCCCCTATGAGAACTCTGGGCCACAGAATGGGTCACGCTCAGTCTGCAACCATTCTGCAATGCAGAAACTTTCTCACCAAAAGAAAGAAACAAATAAAGACATGGAACCATGGAACCTACCCTTCCTTAGCTCATGACCGAATCTCTGCTAAGCATACTGTGATTCACTCTACCCAGAGACAGAGGGGAAGTGGCAATGGTGTGAGGTGCTGGAAATGAGCCCAATGAGCCAATTGTACTACTTTGGTTTGTGCACACAGCTATGGTCTCATAGCCCACGCAGAACTCATTCTCTGATTGGTGACAATTACAGGGAAGGAAATGCCCAGAGGGGATTTGAAGCTCAGACCCACCAATGATGGGACATTTCTGATGGTGGCAGATGCTATGGCAAGGGCTTTAACATGTTCCCTTTAATCAAGTGGGCTGTGATGGTGACTTTCTAGTGGGTGAATAACTGGAAGCAGGGGCTCAGCAACCTGCCTTAGGCATCTTGGTGAAGGAGTAGTT